GATCTATGCAATATTTGACTTAGGGTATATCTCAATTACCCTTTTTTTTTTTTTTTTTTTTTTCATCCCAGAGATCCTATCCTGGATTGAAAATGTGTAATTAAACACAATTATTAAGATGCTTTGCAATCTCAACCAATAATATACTTTGACTAGTATTTATATTTGAGATTTTCATCTATAAAAGTTAGCTAGGCTTTTGTTATCATAATTAGTATTATCTCAATCTCACTTTATTGAGAATATACTATGTTATCAGATGTTAAATCTTTCATATCAAGTATATCATTAATTTTTTAAAGCATACAATGACTTATGCATCGCATTTATGTCATTGTCTCGGTAGTAGCTTTAATCCACTCAAAGGCTTATTAGCTTACACACTTGACTTTTCAATTGGAACAAATAACCCAATTTTTCAGTGAAAAAATAACTCTTCTAGTTATTCAATATTTTCCTTATAGGAAACAACATGCACTATTGTTATAATATTATAAATGATTTTCGTTTCTATCCTAAAACTCTTAGGACTCGGAACCCCCCACATTTATAGGTATTTCTCTTAAGATGAGGTGACTCATAACAAATTTCATTTATGGATAATATTTCTCCACAACTTTGGTATAATACTGAAATTATATTTTTGATGTATTTAATATGAATTTTCAACTCCTGAAATACCCTATATTAAATACTTCACCTCATCTACCTTTTCAAGGTTCCATATTCGTTTCTCAATAAGCATATATAACAGTCTCTAGTGCATATGTACTCACTTTATCTCTAGCATATTCTTATAATAATTCACCGACATTACCGTGAATTAATGCTAAATATATTAATTACAATGGGTTCTAATTAATATTTGCTTCTATATCTTTTATATTTATGAATTAAGTTATTCATATTTAGGTTCATGTTAAGTCAGTCATATTAACAAGTCATAACCTTTCATGTATCACACATCACATAACTCAATCATTTAAGCTAATAATTATCTTATTATTTAAGCTTTGGATACAATTGCCACATAGTGAGTACTTACTTCTCAACTATCATTACTAGTTAAAAGTGAGTTCTTAGATATCATTACTAGCTTAGATTAAGTACACTCTTCTCATATCTCACTTTTAGGTTATGATGAGTACCCACTTCTCGGCTATTACCGCTAGCTTAAAGTTAAGTTTATTTAGCTATCAATTCTAGTAGTTCATAGTTTTAGTACACACTTATCTAAGTAGTCTATCTTGGTAGTAGAGTAATTTGTTTTGAAGAATATTCTTCAAAAACTACTATTTTACAAGTAGTATTATTCCCTCATACATGAGCAGATATGATGTATAGCTCAAATAACTTATGGCAAAAATGGCTACTTATCACCCTCATGATTTTTACTATCAAGTTGAGAGCTATAACCAACTAACAGATTTTCATCTTTCTCTTAAGTTCTGTGTACCTCATTAATCATTTTAACTTATAGGTAAGCTAACTAGTTTGCAACTCAATAACATTTTAGCTTTTAGCTAAATTATACATTAAAGCTAACTAGCTTGATTTAGCTTGTCTCGGTGTGCTTGCTTAGTACTGTATCTATAACATTTTCCATTAAACTCTTTAGAGTTATTAGAAAATCTTCTCTTATTCAGCCCATTCATGGCTATACGTGTCTTAAATACTAATATAGATCTTTTTCCCTTGACTATTGGGAAAATTGATATAGTTGGATTAGTCAATTTTTGTTTGTTGTATTACATACGCAAACCAGACAAGAATTCATACAAATTCAATAATATCACATATTAAATAAACTATGTTGTAAAATTGAATTACAATACACACTTAGTAATTCAATTACATAGTTCAATATTATAGTATCAAATAAAAGTAAATATTTATAAAAATAATATTGAAATTGCATAACAATATAGTTTAATATCATATTACATGATTAATTATATCACATAATTAATCTAAAAAATAATTTAATAATAATATTCAGAAGAAAACTTTGCTTTTTTAAAGCTTTGTGGCTCATTCTCCAAAATAAACATGCTAGAAAATTAAGACTAAAAGATTTAGACGTTCTAGCCCTCTTGCTACATCTAAGCTCATCCTTATTTTCATTGTATGATTTGTGTACAAGAAAACGATATGCTCTACTATTATGAGCATAACCTATCAAAGGTTTTATGTAACGATCCACTCTACCACATGATATGATATTGTCCGCTTTAGGCCGAGCCCGCATAATTTTGTTCTTGGGTTTTATCCCAGAAGGCCTCATACCAATTGGAGATAACACTACCACATAAAGCACTTCCCATTTCCCTTACCTAAGCGATGTGGGACTGTGCACTTGTAGTTCACCTTGTGTGATAGTCTATCAGTGCCTCTTGCATCCGTCCACGACATACCAACCTACAAGGTCATCACATTTTAAGTCTCACTTTAGCTTTCTTAGGAGTAAGAACTGCAACATTAGCTAGACACTCCCACACATTTAAGAATTTATAGGAAGGTTTTCGACCTTTCCATAATTCACATGGTGTCACATTAGTTTTTTTTTGAGGTATTTTATTGAGAATATAATTTGCGAAAAGCAAAACTTTCCCCCCTACAAATTTTGAGTTAAATCAGAACTTATCAACATAGCATTTCTTTGTGAATGATACCATATTTTGAACAAATATCAACAAATGGTGTTTCGTATTCACGAACTCTATCATTTCTTAACATCTTGATCTTTTGCCATGTTGATTCTCAACCTCATTTTTGTAATGTTTAAACATTTTTAAGGTTTCATCTTTGCTTCGTAGCAAATATACATAACAGTATCTTTTGCAATCATTGATAAAAGCAACGAAGTAAATTTTTTTTTTTTTCCACCTCTAGTTGGCACAAATTTAGGATAATATAAAAACTACATAAATTTATATTACAAAATTAAAATAATTCAACTAATATTGAATTATATAAATAATTCAATAATCTATTTATATAACATGCTTCAATTTCACATAATATTGAACATATCAATATTTAACATATAATCATATAATAATGTATATAATATTATTTTATTATATCTCAATTGTTAGTATAATCTCTACTTATTTATATCTTAAATAAAAACAAATAATAAAATCCACGCAATGATTGATTATGTCTTAAGATTGTTGGTAAATATTTATGCTTCAAATGATATTTAAGATATAACTAACCCTATACTAATATGCCATAAGATATTTGTAATATACTAAAAATAATTAATTAAATATTCAACTAGAAATTTAATTAAACATGCAAATTAAAGTAATAAAATAATAATAATAAATAAAGAACCTAGATCGAGACTAGTATTGGATACTATATCTTTAAGACAGATTCGCCCCGCTGTGGTGTTAAAGGACTCAGTGACATCTATCTTCCAGGATACAACGGTCTACATCCACCCGTAGCAGCAATATAAATTCGTGGATACGACGAACCTCCTCTGTGTAATACTCTCTCTGACTCAAAAATATATCTATTTTATATAAATAATGAATTGGGTGCAATCCGAATCAACTGGCTCGGACTAAATTTAATATGGCTCAATGAAATTAATTTTGGGCCTAAGTGGCTCAGACTGCTTGACCATGGCTTGAACCCACATCCACTTGGGTTAGGTTCATCTTGAGAGAGGGAGAGAATAATAAATTGTGTTTTTTTAAATAACAACCAAGGGTGGGTATTTATAGAGAAACTGGTGCTCTTTGGTTAATGGATGTGTCCCTTTACTCGCATCCCTTCTACAAAATTTGGTTTAAACTATCCTTCACACACCTATTCACTTTGGATGTGGTTCACATTGAACAAACATAAGTTTGGATTGCACTTCTTCCTCTCACAACCCTTTATCACACCTTTTAAGTGCAATGCATCCCTTAAAAATATGGTAAGTTCCGTTAACATATTCCAATAACCTCAGTGGTGTTGCTGTACTTTATCCAAAAAGGTATTTGGTCTTGGTGAAAAAAAAAAAAAAGTTTAAAAATAATAATAACAAAAAGTATACTAGGAGAGGGAAGGAGCTTTAGAAAGAGAGGAAAACAAAAAAAGTTCACCAGGAGAGAAAGAATTGTTGGCTAAATAGGTTTTATGCATGGATTGTCATCTGGTTCATTTTACCAATAACAAGAAGCCCAAGAGCTGATCACAATAGCTCCTGTTGTGTTGAATGGGTGAATTGAAGAGAAAATAGACAGTTGCCTAAGGTACTCTGTCGTGGATTGTGTTGAAATCATTTAAGTTTATTTTATTATTAGTATTTTTTCTTTTTTTTTGGGGTGGTTTGTTGATGAAAACTACAACTTGGTCTCAATTGAATAGCGCCTATTAGCATTCTTCATGTCGTCATATGTATTAATTTAAACAACAAACCAAGCAAAAAAGAAAGATAAAAATTATCCATAGCATTAAATGTTCATTAGTTGATAGACATATAAATTGTGATACTCGTGATTCCAATATTTTATTTTCAAAATATGTATAGACTAATTAAATCGGCCAACTGAACAAGGTGACAAAATTTGATTTCCGTCCTATGTTATCCCATCTAATAATCTTTATACACTGTTTTGTTTATGCAAAGCTTCGAATTAGAGTTAGTTTTTTTTTATTATTATTATTATTATTTTTAAATTAGAAAATTATATAAAAATTTGTTTGACTGACATTTTCTGATAATTAATTTATGAAAAATCAGTCAAAAATTTTGTACTAAACTGTATATTTATATTGCCATAAATATATGAAACTAAATACAGTTGAGAATAGATTATAGTAAAACAGAAATGAGTATGTTGTCATAAAAATAAAATATGTATTAAAAATAAAAAAAATGTTTTAGAAGATCCGAGGTAATGAATAGAAAATGAGTATTTTATCATGAAATATACAACCCGGTTACGTACAAATCCGAGTTGAAGGAATAGAAAATGTTGTAGATGATATGAGTTGAACAAATAGAAATTTTTTGTGGCAAAGTGGGAAAGGAAGATAAGAAAAAGCTCAGATACCCCTATAATTAGTCTATTGAACAATTGGTCAACCCACACCCCCACACAATACGCGTACTATTCAATTCGAATCCTCTGTTCCAAGTCTCTTTTGCAAGACTCTTTAATTCCACAAGACCCACAACAACAAAAGCTCCACTCTCTTTTTATCTCTCTGTTTTTGCCCAAAATTGGTTTGGAGAATTCAATCCAATCCAATCCTTCAATGGCGATGAAGATGAAGGTACCCATATTTCTTTATTCATTTGTACCATTTCTAGTTCTGCTTTCCCATTTGGGCTTGTCACAGGGCCAACAATCTTATGTCAACAACAAACAGCTTGACTGTGAACGAAACTACACGGTCACCGAAGGCTATGTCTGCAATGGTCCACTCCCCTCCTGCAATTCTTACCTCACTTTCCGGTCAAACCCAACCTACAGCTCCCCTGCCACCATCGGCTACCTCCTCTCCGCCCAACCCGCCGAAATCGCCCGAATCAACAACGTCTCCGATGTCCACACCTTCCCCACCGACACCATCGTCGTCGTCCCCGTTAATTGCTCCTGCACCGGCGGCGAATACTACCAGCACAACGCCACCTACGTCTTGAAGACAACGGGCGAGACCTATTTCTCCGTAGTCAACAACACCTATCAGGGTCTCTCCACTTGCCAGGCCCTGATTGCTCAAAACCCATACAATTTTCGAGATCTGCAAGTGGATATGAGACTCAATATTCCTCTCAGATGTGCTTGTCCCTCTTCGAATCAGACCTCCAATGGCGTCAAGTACCTTCTCACTTATCTGGTCACTAGGGGAGATGACCTTCCTTCCATTGGAGACATTTTTGGTGTTGACAATCTGAGCATATCTGATGCTAACCAACTATCTGGACTCATTTTCCCTTTTACTCCGCTTCTCGTTCCGCTTAAAACCGAACCCATTAGGATCAACACCACCGCCGTCTCTCTGACGCCACCTCCGCCTCCGTCGTTGCCCACCGTCCCCGTTGACGACAGCAACAGTTCTTCCTCCCACAAGTGGGTGTACGTAGGCGTTGGAGCTGGGTCTTCTCTCATCGTGATTATCATCCTGTGTGTATTTTTGGTATGGGTCTTTCGTAGGAGGAGGTCTCAACAAAGCAAGCCAATTCCAGTTCCAATTCGACCGGGTGGTGGTAGGAAGCTTGATGAGTCTGCTGATTGCACAGCTCTGCCGGACACCAAATCATGGTCTGTCTCGTCGGAAGGAATTCGATCCGCTGTTGAATCCCTGACTGTGTACAAGTTTGAGGATTTGCAGAAGGCCACTGGATTCTTCAACGAAGAAAACAGAATCAAGGGCTCTGTATACCAGGGTTCTTTCAAAGGGGATGATGCTGCAGTGAAGATCATAAAAGGGGATGTGTTTCGGGAGATCAATATACTGAAACAGATCAATCATTTCAACATAATCAGACTCTCCGGTTTCTGTGTGCGTGAGGGTAACACCTACCTTGTTTATGAGTATGCTGAGAAAGGGTCACTATCAGATTGGCTTCATTTCAAAGGGTATCAAACTTCTACTACTAGTCTAAGCTGGAAGGAGAGGGTTCAGATTGCCTACGACGTCGCGGATGCTCTGAATTACCTCCATAACTACACCAATCCGCCTTATGTTCATAAGAACTTGAAGACCAGTAACATACTTCTTGATGGTAATTTGAGAGCCAAGGTTGCGAATTTCGGGTTGGCAAGGACTCTGGAGAATGAGGACCAAGGAGGGCTGCAATTGACTAGGCATGTGGTTGGAACTTATGGGTACATGGCTCCTGAGTACATTGAGAATGGATTGGTTACTCCGAAACTAGATGTGTTCGCATTTGGTGTGGTGGTGTTGGAGCTCTTGTCAGGAAAGGAGGCTAATGGCGGTGGCGGTGGCGGTGGCGGTGGCGACAAGAATGAGGAGGAGTTGCTATCTGTGACCATAAACCAGGTGCTGGGAGAGCCGAATGTGACAGACAAGTTGCGAGGTTTCATTGATCCTTGCCTAAAAAGGGAGTACCCACTGGACTTGGCATACTCCATTGCCGAGCTAGCTAAGAACTGCGTGGCTCATGATCTCAATTCTCGCCCAACCATAGCCGATGTTTTCATGACCCTGTCAAAGATTCAGTCATCTTCACTGGATTGGGATCCGTCCGACGAACTCGATCACTCCAGATCACTAGGCCGTGGCAGATAAGAAGTCAACTGCTATCAATGAAGGAGAATGAATACGGTATATTGTAATAATAGTGCTATCGGTGGCTGCTGTTTGTCCAGCCCATGTTATTATAGTATAATAGAGCATAGAATTTCATGTTTGTCTTCTTTCATATATGATGATGTATAAGCATTTGAAAACTGTTGCTTCAGTTAGCCCAATAATCAAGCTTCAATCTCATCCCTGTAAAACCTAAAGATCAAATGATTTCTCAAGGTTTATCTAGCTGGAGTAATGGCAAAACCTGGTCACACAAACTGTACCACAAACTCAGTAAAAATAAATTGGCAAATTTCCTGGAAACTAGTCACAGACTCGCTGTAACAATATGTATCTAACAAACATTTCCATGAATGTAAGGCAAAAGAGCAAGGTTGACTCCAATTTCTGTGGCAATAGAAGTTCCAAAGTATGCTGTTGATATATTTTCCTTCATTAAACTTTTCCCATTCCCCTTTACTGATCCTGCTATTCAACATTGGTTGAAGCTGGATCACATTCATAACGTAGAGATACAGTGCGAACTCATACAATCTTTGTTTAATTGTTCTCTCATATCAAATCAGGCCACTGGGGAACTTTCTTTCATTTTAGTGCCCACTCGAACGAGATGGGGATTGAAGTATGAGCACGACTCACTAGTGGTGCCCTACAAAGTGTAGAGTTTGTATGAAGTTGATAACTTGTGTGGTCTGAAAATAGCCGCTTAGGCATGTGGCATCATTTACAAGTTCAAGAACATGTTATATTGCTCAACCTCAAAACCTTCTCAAAGCAACCAGAACACATGGCTTAAGTCGATGATGTGAGACAGTTTCTACTGCCAAAGAGTGACATAATATAAAGGATAAATTGTTTACACAATACCACACATGAGAAAAATTGAGTCGATCAATCAATCATTGTAGATTATTTTAGCACAAACATGCTGTATCAGATTGGACTATGCCAAACAATGCAACATAAAAAACGTAACCTTTTACTAAACTCTTATTTGGTGGCCTGCGCGATTATATTGCTGATTGAACTGGCCTCTTCTTTAGCAGCTTCAACTAACGAATCCTGCAAATCAAATATACAGTCCATTCAAATTCTTAAATGTCAGAGAGTAAATATATCTCCACTATGAAGAAGCATACCTGCGCTGCTATTAGACGAGCAACTGTTTTCTTGCTTGATTCTTGAAGTTCACCGGCAATTAAAAGTTCGTCCAATATGTAATATGCCTGCCAAGGATTACGCATAAACATTTTAACCCAAAAAAAAAAAAAAAAAAAACCAAAAACAAAAAATCAGCCATTAACACCATCTAGAATTGTGTGATCAACCAGTTCTCAAACATATCAACAAGTACAGATCATTCAAGTAACATCCCCAAATCAGAGGAGGTAATAGTACTTTCGCAATGCAGGTCTGTACCACCCAAATGATAATATCACCTTCCAAAAGATTATTTTGTTGATGACCCCAACAACTAAATCTAATTTTCCAATGGAGGGGCAAGGTAGAATTGAGAAGTTGATCAACAGAAGTCTGTGAATGTCTTACCAAAAGAAAAGAGATTGGTTATCATCTATATGGTTCCTACTACAGGAAAAGAGTCAAATTTAATTCTCATCAGTGGTCTTACAGCAGCATATTCAGCAACTACGCATGGCTGTTAAAGATTCACTTTACTCTTTTGCTAACTCTTATTTTGTAATTCATTTTAAGGTTAGCGAGACATGGCTTGTGGAAAGAGAGAGATTGCAAATATAATTTTAAGGTCAATGAGTATTGCAAGAAGATTTATAGACAAAGGGCGAGGGAGCAGTCCTAACAAGAGTATTGCAGATATGATTTTGAACTAACAAGAGCTTAGAGAATTACCCCTCTTAACCAATACTTTTGTGTCAGACATCCACTGAAATGGACAAATGAACATAAACATGTACAACTTGACTCCAAAACCATACTTCCAAATACAAGCCAAACAAATCTTCTTCATCATTCAGTTCTATATAGGGGAATTTTTTTCAGTTTGTCACCCAAGCAAAAGATCAAAAAATGTCCTGCAGGAGGCAACAGGTATTGCCCTTCTGCAACAAATAAGGGAAAAAGGATTTGAACACATAGCAGGGCAATGTAATATACCTTATGAAAATTATAGATTAAATCCAGCTCACAGACCTAATGAAGCATAGAGAAGCATTATCAATATCAAATTAAGATAGTATGTTAATCTAATTCAAATTCTTAGTTATTTCAAGTTTAGCAGGGCTCACACTTCCAAAGTAGCGGTCAAGTATTTCAACATAATGGTGTATAATTTCAAGAACCTCTAATCCATTGTCATCCTGGTCAATGCACATGCAGAAATACAGGCTGGCATATCTGAAAAACAGATGCACATAAAGTAATGTGTATTTGTGAAGAAGAATAATTCTCTCTATGAATCAAGGCCACAAACATAAACGTCAAATTAGGATTAAAAAATCCTGTCATACCTTTTATAAACAACTTTAAAACCCCTCCACTCCACAAAGTTGCAAAGCTTGGGTCCTCGCGGGAGAATTAAACCACTGAGTTCCCTGATTACCTATATACAAAGTGCCATCCACATACCGCAACATTTACAAAATTAACAAAGTGCACATTACTTCGGGAAATTCACATGCTAAAAATTATGATTTTTCATAATTGCACAAACTAATTCCCACTGCCGAAATGCCAACAACTAAAAGATATGACTACGAAGGGTTTCCATGTATGTTTATAATGACAGCCACTTAGTTGTATATAAATGTTCAGCTTACTTATAAAGCTTGAAACAAGAACAGAAACACATTCCAACAACACAACAAGATTCCTTATATATCTTGCGCAATGCAAAATCCACAGGGGAAGAAGAAGAAATTTTCATTATTACTATATCTATATTTATTTAATAAGTAAAAAAAGTTACTCGACTCCTAAATTTTACATTGTACTTGGCATGAATTGGCACCAGCGAACTACTCTCTATTTGTAACCCTCCTCCCAAGAATACAGAAATGAACAGCTTTCAGATTGGAAAAAGTTGCATAGTTTAAGTAAATGATACCTTTGTTCTTTCCTTCTGTGCATAAGGTGAATACCACTTTGTCAACCTCACTTTTCCTTGTCGGCTGATGAGAAGCACAAAGTGAATCTGGAACAAGCACATAAACAGAAGCCAATCAACATTTACTAGTTCTCTAGCTGGTTGAAACATAAACCATTAAATTATTCTTGAAAAGTTAGTGGTTTTTTAATGCGATAAAATATATTACATATCTTGTTGAAGAGGTAAATTATTTCCTTGTCGGCTGATGAGAAGCACAAAGTGAATCTGGAACAAGCACATAAACAGAAGCCACTAAACATTTACTAGTTCTCTAGCTGGTTGAAACATAAACCATTAAATTATTCTTGAAAAGTAAGTGGTTTTTGAGGGCGATAAAATATATTACATATCTTGTTGAAGAGGTAAATTATTTCCCCCAAGGAAGAACTACGTTCAGTAAGAAGCAAAAAAAACAGACGTGAAACCAGTTTTTTCCTCAATAGGAGCAAATAACTGTCAAAAAATGATAAACCAACTCATAATATTCAATTATTCACCCAAATTAGCTCATTTTCTTGAGAAGACAACACCACTAATCAAGTTTGATTTATAATTGCTGAAAATGTTGAACACATGGGCTTAAAAAAGCAGCACTTGTTTGTTCATAGTGCAAACTAGTGAACACGGCTTTACATGACAAAGAGACTCTTGGTGTACATTACTTTCAACAAAGAAAAATTGAATGAGCCCATCTCGCATTGTTTTGCATGTACAGAAAGGGTTTTAAAAACCCCCATTACTAGAGAATGAAGTTCAGTTGCAAGTCATTTCATTTCTGGATAACAAGTTGATTAAAGATTGTTGCAGTAAATTATAGTTATAAGCATGAAATAGCAAGATAAAATTTGTAAGGCATTTTTGTGATAAAAAAAAGGGTTTACCAATTTAAGACACGTCCACTGCATCTTAACACAATACTCACAAAACTAATTTTCTATCTGGAAATGATTAAGCATAATTGCACAAATATAAGCAAAACCTAATTATTTGTCCTTAATGCTCCAGGACAGCGTTCTTGTCACTATGCATGCTCACACCATAGAAATTCTCTCTATATCACGTCAACCATGTACTGGAAACATGGCATCTTTCAGAATTCATCATCTGTTGCACTTAAATCCACCTCTTGCAAGCCACAAGCAACCCCTCACTCCTGTAAGCAACCATCCTACTACTCACCAAAGCTGAAGCCTCCACCAGTTTTTATTTTTTATTTTTATCTCAATCTTAATAGGTTTTTCTTAGTTGTGGGCACCCCATTTGCATATTCCTCCTACAAACACTAACTCATTCATTCAGGGAAAAAAAAAAAAAAAAAAAAAAAACTAACTCATTCCATTTGGCTATGTCCATCAAGTACATCATCAACTTATTCAATTGGCATCTACATAATTTTGTTCACAACCTAGAGGACAATGCTTAGTGAGCTAGTAAAATGCTTGGGCTGCCAAGCTTGAGAACGCGGACAACCACTTTGTGTCAATAATGCCACAAATTAGGTCTGTATCCAGTCGACCCCGCCCAGCACCCTCAATTAACAGAGAAGAGACCACATTGAATAATGACTATAATTTTATTCACCACTGAACCACCCCCTCTCCCCCAAACAATGCTACTATTCTATTCAGAAAAGAAAAAAAAGCAAAAATACTGCAAAGAAAGCAAACTGTATATGCACACATCACATTCATGATTAAGTTTTCGAATCAATAGTTCAAGTCACACACGCCCATAATTTTCTTGTCGGAGAATTCCCTTCAACTATTGTTGCCAAATAACTAATACGATATTGCGGAGTTGAAGGGAAATATTCATATACATGTCTGATTTTTTTCAATAATACATACTTGTAGCAATGAAATACTATTGTTCATGATTAAGAAAACAAACTGTATACGCACACAACACTTTCATGATTAAGTTTTCAGATCCAACAATGAAAACAAACATTAACCAAAAGTCCACATTTATGAATTTCGCAAGGCAAACTCGTAATTGAAGTTCTCTAGCTCCACCAAAGAACAACAGATCGGGTTATAAAATAGAAAACAAGTGATCACATGGATAATATATGTTCGATAAGGAAATCCAAAAAGGAAAACAAAATATAAGTATCAAAACCACTCCAATTCATCAAGAAACGGAAAATTCAGAACAGAGAGAGAGGGACGGTGTGTGTTTGGCATCGAACATAAAGGTCTGATAAACAGAGTGAAATAAGGAAAAGTTGGATTGAAAATGATAGATACATTTTGGATCTTTTTGATTGGAATCGAATCAAATAAAGAGAAGAAAATGATGAGCTGCGAACAAAGATTTATGTTACCATGGCTGTGAGCTCTGGTGTCGTCTATCGGCGTCAATTCGAAAAAGAGCCCTTCTCTCTGTCACAATTTGCTATTTCCCTTCTTTAACGTCTCTCCTGCCTCCTCTGCATTTTTGTTCGTCAAATTTTTCAAAGATCCATAAAACGCGATTTTTTAATTTTTTGGGGACAAATTACACTGATTTTGCCATTTTGTATTGTCAGTGTCATTATCACGTGTTTTTAAAATGAAAATAACATTTGAGTTAAAAAAAAGTAAATTAAAATTGAGTGTGTGCTTTATATATATATATATATATATATATATATATATTTAATTTATTTTTGGGCCCTTGGCCAATGGCATGGACACATTCTCTACCTTTCACTCTATAATGGAAGATTTTATTTTTTATTTTTAGTTTTGTTAAGAAAGATTTGAAAAGTAATTTCTTATGTTAGTCATTTTTTTTTAAGGCGACAATTAAAGTGAAACATAAAAAGTATCATTTATGAGTTTGTTTTTAAAACTCATGTAAATCTAATTATCTTTGATTTTACTAGTATAAATTTGATATTTTAAAATATGATTTTCATATATCAGGATTAGAAAAAAGACCAATAAATTACATTTTTACTAGCATTTTATTTTCTAAACTTATCTCTTCAAGGAGGGAGAAAAAAAAAACAAAACAAAACCAAAAAAAAAAAAAAATTTATTCATGTGATCAAATTTACCTTTTCGGTCGCCTTTGAAGGAATATATAGAGGGTGTTTCTATTTGACACTTCTAACAAATGGTTGCGGAATAAAGGGAGTTTTGCTTGGAATGTATAACTCATTATCCTCTTGTCTATTGATCCATGTTGGAATAAAGGGAGACAGACCATGGTGTTTTATCATTGCATGTTTGTTTGAGAAATATTTTAATTAATTAAATATTAATACATAATGATAAGATTTATAAATTAAATATATATATTTTTACGTGACAAAATATAAATAAATTGCTAACATCGAGTGATATCATCAGTGCGGAGAAATCTTTATGTTAAATAAAGTTATTTTTCTTAACTTGCATACGAGGGGATGCAAATGGCTAACTATGATGGTGCAATTAGAAAATTTATTATATGGTCCAAAACTACATGATCCTAGTCAATTACAGGAGATCACATAACAAAAAATTACAAACATACTAACATAAATACATACAAAAATACTGACGACATGTAATTGACTAGAATTATTTATAATTTTGCTTCTAATTTTGTATTGTTGTTCTATTGGGAGGGTATGCTCTCTCATTCTAGGTGCTATAATGTTCTATCTTTTAGAATGAAACAACAACCCATTCATTAAAATAAAAATAAATTAATTATTAAAAATATATATAAAAAAACCCGCAGTTGTACATGAGTCATGTCTCGTTAGAGAAAAAAGAAATGGTTCACACATCACATTGCACCATGTTTTTGGATGATTGTTAAGCTGGGCCTGGGTGGAGCAAAGTGTGATTACTACACTTGTACATGTAATGAATTGTTTTTTACATGGTCCGGGAGGCCCACCATGTCACCAACACAACAAACAGAACATAGTTGTGGATCAAACTTCTGGTGGGTTCAAATGATTTCGTTTCTGCTTTTATATGATACTAGTTTCTTTTACAAGATAGGATGACAGGCCCGGTATGAAAGCTAAACTTAGTAGCACTCATAATTTGGGCTAAAATCAATATGATGACCCATGGCCCAAATCAAGGATCACACCATCTTCAGTTCTTTTTATTTCTTTTTTATTTTTTCTTTTAACATACTCACAATTATCTTCCGTCATTTTTAAGGAGAGCTAGAGAGAGAACTTAAATCTTTTAATTAATAAAGAAATTCAATACTTAAATTAAGTTCTAACAATTTAAACTGGGTAATTTTTTTTATTATTTTTTTTTCTTAGTTCACATGTGTCTCAATTGAAACTTGAACGCCTGACCTCCCTGTTGAGATTTTATTTTTTGTAATATGAGATTATACAGATTGTACAGCTATAGGATTGCATTATTTTCTCCTTGATTTAGGGCTAATTGGTAGGTAATTAGTTTCCCGATTATTGTATATTTAGTTACCTATTTTAGCTAGATATTACTTTATAAATTAGATGTAACACCATCGTGAATAATATTAAATTGAGTTTTGATTCTCATATTCTTTATTTGAATTTCAAGATGGTATCAGAGCCATCCTTGAACCGTATTTTTTGAATCTCTTTGAATTTATCTTTTAAATTTATTGAATCATACAACATAACCATACACATACACATCAAGTCACAGACCCATACAGATACACATACAGTCACCATTGATGCACCCATCACAAGCAGCTGCCAAACCACTGTAGATCTCACCGAATCTAGATCTGAAACGACAACGACGAAGCCGCAGCCACTGCCATCACAAGTCTCAGCCGTCGCTGGACCAATCTCCATCACAAACCGCAGCCACTACCATCACAAGTCGCTACCATCACAAGCCATAGTCGTAACCAAACCGCTGCACCTCGACAGATCTGTATCGCCGTCGCCGGATCTGCTTCGCTGCCAGCCGGCAACGAACCGCTGCACCTCGCTGTCGCATCGCCGGATCTTCGCATCGCATCGTCGGCTCGCGTCAAACCGCTGCCTCGCCTGATCTCGTTAAACTGCCGCCTCACCGGATCTCGTCGTGGCGTCGGATCTCCATCATCGCCGTCGCGTTGCCGGATTAGGCCACTCTCTGTCGCTGCCTTACCGGCGTCTTGGTGATACTCGTTCTCTGCCACTGCCTCGCCGGATCGCGTCGTGGTGATACTCCTTCTTTGTCACTGCCTCACCGGATCGCGTCGTGGTGATACTCGTTCTCTGCCACTGCCCCTCTCATCTAGTTTTTGTTATTATTTTTTTTGTATTTGATGCTTCTCTGTTGCTTAACACTTAACAGAGAAGTTGAATATTTTGTTTTTTTATTTTAGTTTATTAATATATATATATATATATATTAAAAAAAAAGGAAAAAAAAAATGAGTGAAAAAAATATTGAATTCGCTAGGACGAAATCAGTTCTTATTTTTGTTCAATCTGAAGGTGTTTTTAATGCAGGGATCAGTCTTACTGAATCCAATTATGATGTTTGGTCCCAACTGATGGAGATGCATATTGCTGAAAGGGAGAAACTCTCCTATATTCGGGGCAAGACTAAACCACCTGCTGAATCAGAAAATGATTATGACAAATGGTATGCCGAAAATCAGAAAGTGAAGCGGTGACTATTAATGTCTATGACTCCAGAAATTATGAAGCGTTATTTATGCTTACCCATTGCCAACGAAATCTGGAATGCTCTATCAAAGGCCTTTTATGATGGAAATGATGAGTTACAAGTTTTCGTCTTGAACCAAAAGGCCTTCACCGCTAAACAAAATGGAAAATCTTTATCTGAATATTATGGAGAACTAACTGAGGTTTTCCGAGAAATGGACCATCGAGATAAAGTGGTCATGAAAGATCCGGATGACATTGAAGCATATCGGAAGTCTATCGAGCGACTAAGGGTTTACATCTTTCTCGCTGGATTGGATTGGAAAGTGATTTTGAACAAGTTTGTGGAGAAATTCTACGTAACGATCCAGTTCCAGACTTGGAAGGCTGCTACTCGTTGGTTCGACGAGAAGCGGTACGTCGTGCAACTCTGAAAAGGGAATCCGAAAACTCTAAAGCTTCAGTAATGATGGCTCGAAACAGGTCTAAGCAAAACTGGCAGGACCGTCCTATACCCAATCCATCTAAAGCTACCAACGGTGCAAACAAGTCTACCTACAAATGTACCTATTGTAATAAGACTGGTCATACCAAAAGTCGTTGTTTCGAACTTGTGGGATATCCAGAATGGTAGGATCATCGTCGTTGGAAGAAGAATTCGAAGAAGACCTCCACTGCAGCAATTGTTGAGACAGATGATGATGGTGCTGAAAATGCCTTGGGGTTGGTAGTAACTAGAAATAATGATGGTAAGATTTTAAATATTTTTACACCTGTTGTTAATAGTGCATGGATAATTGATTCTGGTGTTACAGATCATATGACATTTGATTCTAGACAGATCTCCCCTCTTAATTCCTCTTCACAAAAATTTGTTTTAACTGCCAATGGTACTTCGACCCCAGTTATTGAGGAAGGCTCTTGACACTCACTGATAATCTGCATTTAGATTTTGTTTTAGTTGTTCCATCTTTAGCTTATAATCTTTTGTCAGTTTCCCAAATAACCACAGCTTTATCTTGTGTTGTAATTTTTTGGCCTAATTTTTGTGTGTTTAAGGACATCCAAACAAAGCAGACGATTGGTTGTGGTATTAGGCGAGGGAAGCTGTATTACTTGGACTTGGTGTCAAAGAGCTCCGACAAGTTACGATAGACGTTGACAGTGGATGGTTCTGAGGGGGAGAAAAAGAAATCTGAAATATGGCTGTGGCATCGACGTCTGGGGCATGCCTCCTTTGGTTATCTGAAAAGATTATTTCCTAGTTTATTTTAAAATTTTGATGGTTCTAGTTTCCGCTGTGATATTTGTGAACTCGCAAAGAGCCATCGTGCTTCGTTTCCATTATGTTTGAATAAAAGTCCACTTCCTTTTATGGTTATACATTATGATGTTTTGGGTCTGTCCAAAGTCACTACTTTAGGTGGATCACGTTGGTTTGTTACTTTTATTGATGACTGTACCAGGAGGACCTGGTTGTGTTTGATGAAATCCAAAAGTTTGTTTCAAAAATTTCATAAAATGGTTTAAACTTACTACAATGCATATGTACGTTCAAGTTTTCCGTAGTGACAATGGTGGAGAATATCAAAGTTTTGACCTTCAACAATATTTGGAAGCACATGGAACTATTCATCAAACTACTTATTCCAATACACCCCAGCAGAATGGGGTTGCAGAGCAAAAAAATTGCCACTTGTTAGAGGTTGTTCATGTTTCATTGATAGAAACTCATATGCCATTATCGTATTGGGGAGAAGCACTTACCTCTGCAGTATATCTAATCAATCGAGTACCTTTTAGCTTTATTGACTTCCAGACACCATTGCAAGCTCTCACTGACGCAGTTGTTGCCCCAACCGTTCCAAATTTACCTTCTCTTGTCTTTGGTTATGTAACATTTGTATACCTCCATAAACATCAACGCAACAAGCTAACTCCTCGAGCGTTGCGCTGTGTTTTTTTCGAAAATGCTACTCATCAAAAGGGATATCGCTATTATCACCCTCCAACTCGACGAATGTTTATCACCATGGATGTTGTCTCTTTTGAAGACTCGATGTATTTTTCCTCTGTGTCTGAACTTCAGGGGAAGTACCAGAAAGAAATTCAGACTCTAGATTATGATTATCACACTTTTAAGGACGGCGATTCTAGTGGTGATGACTCACAAGTTGGACCAGCTAATCAGGAATCGGGCGAATTGGATTCGAGTGGTATAAGTTTGGATCAAAGTGGTGATGAATGCCTAGAAATAGAAAGCATGGCACCAACCCCACCGTCGTCCGAGTTTGAGTCCCTCGCAACTGATATATTAAACCAATCGCCTGCTGAGGATGTTCCTGATTTAGTGCCTGAGCCACTCCGAAAATAATTACTACAACGTCACACTAAAGGTATTCCTAAACCCACATATGAACCCGAACTTTTTAGTAAAATTAAGTATCCCATGGGTCATTATGTGTCGAACCATCGTTTGTCATAATCAAATTTGTCATTTGTAAATCAATTATCTACTATATCTATTCCTAACAGTGTGTAGGAAGCCTTAACTGGCCCTAGGTATAAAGCAGCTATGAATGAGGAGATGATATCCTTACAGAAAAATAAAACTTGGGAACTCATTGATCCTCCACCAGGAAAGAAACCAGTAGGATGTCGATGGATTTACACTGTGAAGTATAAAGCTAATGGCACAGTTGAATGCTTTAAAGCAAGATTGGTGGCAAAAGGTTACACCCAAACCTATGGAATCGATTACACAGAGACATTTGCACCTATAGCCAAAATCAACACAGTTCGTGTCTTGTTATCTTTAGCTGCGAACTTGGATTGACCATTGTAACAATTCGATGTGAAGAATGCTTTTCTGCATGGTGAATTATCTGAAGAAGTCTACATGGATCTGCCACCAGGATGCATGATACCCGAAAAGTATAGTCAGAAAGTCTGCAGGTTAAATAAATCATTATATGGGTTGAAACAATCTCCGAGAGCATGGTTTGGAAGATTCACAAAGTCAATGATAGCATTTGGCTACCGTCAGAGCAATTCAGACCACACAATCTTCCTGAAAAAATAACAGGGTAAGATCACTGCACTCATTGTATATGTAAATGACATGGTAGTTACAGGGAATGATCCTGAAGAAATGAAGGCTCTCAAGAAGTACTTGTCCAGATAATTCGAAATGAAAGATCTAGGTACTTTGAGATATTTTCTTGGAATCGAAGTATTTTGATCTAATAAAGGAATCTTTCTATCTCAAAGAAAATATACTTTAGATCTATTACAAGAGACTGGCATGACAACATGTCAACCAGTTGAGACACCAGTGGAAGAAGGACTGAAGTTATGTGTTGAGTCCAACCAAGTACCTGTTAATAAAGGAAGATACAAAGACTTATAGGGAGATTGATGTATTTAGCACACATGAGACCGAATCTGGCTTATGTATTGAGCATTGTTAGCCAGTTTATGCATGATCCGGGAGAGCAACATATGAATGTAGTTATGCGCATTTTGAGGTATCTGAAATCTGCTCCTGGAAAAGAAATTTTGTTCACTAAAAATGTTGGTTATCAAAACATAGATGCATATACTGATGCTGACTAGGTTGGAGCTATAGATGATAGGCGATCTACGTTTGGTTACTTCACTTTTGTAGGAGGTAATCTTGTTACATGGAGAAGCAAGAAACAAAATGTTGTTGCTCGCTCGAGTGCCGAAGTTGAATTCAGAGGTATGGCGCTTGAACTTTGTGAAACTTTGTGGTTAAGACTTCTCTTGCGGGATTTGGGTTATCTACCTGGGCAACCGATTAGACTATATTGTGATAATAAAGTAGTATGTGATATTACTCATAATCCAGTTCAACATGATCATACAAAGCATGTTGAAATAGACAGATTCTTCATTAATGAAAAGTTGGATGGAAAAATTGTGGAGTTGCCTAAGATTCGATCGGAGGATCAACTAGACGATATTCTCACCAAAGCAGTCTTAAATCAAATGTTTTCAAAATTTTTAGACAAGTTGGGCATGTGTGACATCTATGCACCAAATTGAGGAGAAGTGTTGAGATTTTATTTTTTGTAATCTGAAATTATACCGATTGTACAGCTGTAGGATTACATTATTTTCTCCTTGATTTAGGGCTAATTGGTAGGTAATTAGTTTTCCGATTATTGTATATTTAGTTACCTATTTTAGCTAGATATTACTTTATAAATTGAATGTAATACGATCGTGAATAATATTGAATTGAGTTTTGATTCTCATATTCTTTCTTTAAATTTCAAGACTCCCTTTAAAAAGTAAGGACCTGATACTATCAGAATAATAATCATCTCAACTATGCTAATTAAACACTAATATATATATATATATATATATAGTCCCCCTTCCTTCCTTGATTTTTCAAAAAAAATATACTCACAAGTAGTCACTACAATCATAATTAAACAATGAAAAAAAACCAAAAGCTAGCTTTCATTTATTTGTCATATTAGTTAGTCTGGATGCGGTGGAGCAAGAATTAAAGGAGGACAAAGGGAAAAGGAAGTGGAGGAAGAATATAGGGGAAGTTGGTTAGAATGAATGAATCCCGCTGTCGTTTGGTAAACACATACCCTACTACTCGTGCGCATGTCCATATCTGCATATATATATATATATTATTCAAAAGGAGACCCACCCTTTTTATTCTACCATTATACATACATGATACATACATACATACATATATATATATATATATATATATATATATATATATAACAGACAACCATGGGGACTAACCAGACATGACATACATGATATATGGTGAGTCAGCAGTCAATGGAACTACCATGTCCATACATATTTATATAGATATAGATAGATATTATGCTGTGGGAGAGAAGAAACCAAGGAGATGGGTGTGAGCGACAATTTGGGGGGTTAAGAGACAGCTCATCATACCATAATTAACAAGACCAGCATATACCAAAATAGTGAAAGGTGTGTGAGTGAGTGTTAGTGTGCGTATCAAACAAATATCAATGTGCATGGGTTCACTAAGCATCAAAAGAGCAGTCAGCTGTAGAATTGATACATCGTTGTAGATGCACATGCTTCACCCATCATATACCCATATCCGACACAATCAGCTGAATATGCCCATTTTGAGGTCGCACATCACTCCAATCACCCAATTTTTTTTTTTTTTTTTTCGTTTATTAAAAAAAAAAAAGAACTACTTAATTAGAGTTTGTTTGGAGTCTCATATCCTTTTTTATTTCTTTTTCTGCAATTATGCTTTGGTATACTAAGTCACACGGACAGCAAAGAAATAGTTGCCATTCAGAACTGATCAAATGTACGAAAAGAAGTTGGAATTACAAGGAATTTCCATAAAATTAGTGCAACAACAAAGGAAAAGGAGCTGCTATATTATATTTATATGTTCAAAAAATATGTTTTGAATTTCCAAAAAAAATACCTATAATAAGTGGTAAAGATATTAGGTCAAACAATGAGCATTAATGCAAATGGTATAATTGTTTCTTTCCGAAAGGTTGATTGTCCAAGCCCACCGGGCCGGGGATAATAAAATCCGCCACCCATTTTGTGCCTATGTGTTAAGAACTTAAGATATGAGTCTACTTGGTCTAAAGAAAATTCCTACAAGGGTAATTAATTTGAAATAAAACCCATAGAAATTGTCTGATTCAACTTGCTATTGGCATGTTTGGCATAGTTTTAGCAACTCTCCAGGAGGCTGTTCTATGAAATTTCAAATGATATGATGAATCAGAGCATGAGAGAGAAACAAAAGACCGACTCACATCAATTTGTGAATTTGTCAAAAATTATATGGAAGTGGTGGGAAATATATATTGATTTTCATTAGATACACAATTAATCACCAATCACAGTAATATCTAAGAATAGGGGCTGCATGTAGAAGTTGAAATGTTGCCCAAATTACACACCAATTAACACCAGTAGCCTCTCACTCAATCTCCAACAAAAAGACTGGAAATCGAATCATCATTCATGTTTGTTGTTGAGATAATATTTGCGGTGTATTCATGAATTATTTCCATATTATGAAATATTAAGCTATTATACACTAAAATACATAGATAGCAAAGTATCTGAAGAAATTTTAAATTAGAATATATTCTACAGGTCGGCTACAAATATCATACACAAGATATATATATATATATATATATATATCTATATATAAGGGTTTTACTAGCACTATACAAACAGAATTCCCCTAAACATGATAATTAAGAATGTCAAACTTTCTGTTTGCACATCATTTTCTACTTAAATGTGTCATGATCTGAAAAGAAATACACTAAGCTCTTGTCCAGTACTTCCCACCGGGTTCATCATATGGAACGACTCCGAGTCAACCGATCCAATAACTCGTTCAAAGCTCGCCCTCAAATACATGAGGTCACCGTCGTCGGACTTGGGCGCCATCGGAAGGACACCGGCCCCCACCGACACCGACTGCATGTGCTTCAGCACCGCAAGGTCGCTCACCGTCATCTGACGCCTGATGGCGAACCCCACCTTCCTGCCATTACAGTACATGGACCACACCGGCACGTCGAAGAGCGAGCACCCGTCTCTCGACCGGCGGCCGCTACACTCCACCACCAGAGCTATCCGGAGCAGCCCATGCTGCATCTCTCGCGCCAAGTACGCGGTGGGGACCGCGAACTCAAGCAGCAAGATGGGCGACCCTTTGGTGTCGTCCTGGAGACAGAAGCTGACCCTGCCTTTTCTGTAGCCGAAGAAGGTGCCGGTGACGGTGGAGGCGTGCGTGGAGTCTGTGTCGCTGGAGAGGGAATGGGAGGAGGGTTGGAAGCCGCAGCAGGGGACCATGCACTCGACAAGTGAACGGAATGATCGCCGGAATCTGACTTCTCGGGCGCAGTCTACTGAGGTGGGCGTGTCCATTATGTGGAGGCCTCGATGATTGCCCAAGTCGACCATCCTCATGTTGGGCAGTAGGTATTATTACTCTTTTTAAGTCTTAATACACACAAACACACACACAAAAACACGTAGTGATGAGAGTAGCCAGGAATGGGAGGGAAAGAGTAGGAGAGGGTTGTAGGGTGTTACACCTATAAATAGGTAAAATAATGGGGATTTAATTAAGGAATTTAAGATGAATATTAAGTAATGGATCATTATGGATGAGAGAAGTGTTTTGTTTTGTTTAATTGGGGTTAGAGAGAGAGAGAATTTGAGTGGGGCTGGGAATGGGGAGCAATAATTCTTGCGCACGAGGGTGTGGGGATGGCTGGTTTTGGAAGGATTTGGGTGGCGCGCATATGTGACTGCATGAGGGTGATGGTTATGCTATTGGTTACCTTAAAAAAAAATTTAAAATAAAAATAAAAATGAAAAGTTTGTAATCACAACCCTTGAATGTGAAGAAAGAACGATTGAAAAGGACCTCTCCATTATTACTAGTGTATATTTGTTTTAAATAAAAATAAAGCAGGTGTAATGAAAAAAGAAAAATCTAAATTAGTGAAATTGAGTATTCAGTGTGTCATCTTGTATACCGAAATGGTACTGATTTGTCAAATTTTTTCACTGGAATCCTTTTAACCAATTAGTGCGAAACTCCAAACTCTTTTTCTTTCTTACTTGAATTTTATTGAAATAACCTAATTTCGAATTGGAAAAAAACGATCCAATCTTCTAAACGAATTGGCTTCATAATGGAGCTCGTCCTAGTTTTTACGGTTTAAAATTGAATTAATATCTATAATAATCAATTAGGGTTTTGACAGGCCAACCTCTAACTCCATAATAAGCCAACATCCATTGTTCATGGTTAGTAGAGTAATAATTAGATACAATGAGTGGTTTGATGAGGTGAGTGGATAAAAGTAGTTGAATAAACAGTGGAATAATGAGCAATTAGCATGCAGTGGAGATGAGCATGAGCATGAACATGCACGAGACAATGATTCGACCCCCAATCATTCCTGCCTCTTCCATGTTTCCAAACTTTTTCCGCTAGCTGATCAGATGATACACACAACTCACTGCTTCACAGTCACTTTTGTCTTCTAAAGTAGCAAAAGTTTCAGAGAAAAGAAATGAAAAAAAAAAGGCCCATTACCATCTGGATTGATTGGCATCAACTAACAATCTTGTAGTCACGGAGGTTTAAAAAAAAAAACCCAAGTTCCCAAAAATTTGCAATGGAATTAGTTTAGGAAAAGCATTTTTTTCCGGAGATTAATTATCTCTACTTTGTTACAATTTTTCAAAGTTTAGGTTGGATTTTCTTTACTATGTTGAGGCTCTCGCCATTATGTGGTCATGTATGTTAGAAATATTGGATTTTCTTAACTATGTTGAGGCTTTTGCCATTATGTGATCGTACATGTTAGAAATAAGAGAGAGTATAGAACTCTGTATTGTATTGATGTATATGAGATGTTATATAAATGTCTTGTATATAGGAAAATGTTAGGAGGTAGGTAAGTGATTAACAAGTAACCTATATATATTAATATAGTAGGTGTATTTATATATGGTAATTTGTAATATATATGCAATAAACCTAGATGGTAGGCAAATTGATAAACTTGTAATCTAACAGTCCCCTTCAATCTCAAGGTGAGTATGAATCCAACTTAAGATTGAAGTTATGATCATGAAAGTTGATGGAATTTTGGTAGAGATGAGTTTTCACCCATGATGATGATGGAGGCACGATTAACTGCTGACGTGGGGGGTGACGTAGCACTATTAGCACCGCTGCTGATTGTGTCTAACATGGCAACTGACGTCGAAAGTAACATGGCACTACTGTCGGCATCACTGCTGGCTGTGTTTGACATGGCAACTGTCATGGAAGGTGACATGACACTACTACTGGCATCGCTGTTGATGTGTCTTGGAAGCTGATTAGGTAGCCGAATAAGGCTTTTACTGATTATGGAGGACTTGAGACTTGGGATGCGGAAGCATAAGTTTGAAGGTTTATCGTCGTCGCCGAGGATTGAGCTAATAGTGCCATCCCCGGTGGTGACCACGATAAACTGTTAAATTGTTTACCAGAGTTAAACTAGTATATTGTTTGTTTACCAGAGATTGAAAGACTCTGATATTATGTTAGAAATAAGACATTATGTTAGAAATAAAAGAGAGTATAAAACTCTGTATTGTATTGATATGTATGACATGTTACATAAAGGTCTTATATATAGGAAAATGTTTGAGGTAGGTGAGTGATGAATAAGTAATCTATATATACTAATACGGTAGGTGTACTCATATATGGTAATTTGTAATATGCAATAACCTAGATGGTAGGTAAGTGGATAAACTTGTAATCTAACAATGTAGAGTCTTACTTCCGGATACTGTTGACCTCTAGATTACAATGGATCAATCTTACTGTAATTTCCAGTGCATATAGATCATTCATATTATTCAAATTGTATGAAACAAACCCTGAGCAACTTGTTGCAATGTCTGCAATCAACCTGTTGATTTTCATTTCATGTTCATTGTACACAAATTTGGTCCACATAGAGGGAGAGAGGAGCTTTAATTCCTTATCCATGTTGCATATTTGTGCAAAAGAAGTAGTGTTGGTACTTTTAAGAACAGTGTGCTTTTGATCATTATCAACAATGTCAATGATAAATTCAGAGAAAAACTAGATGATTGGGATATATTTATGTCCTAGTTAGGGCTGTTAGCCAACCATGCATGACCAAAAGAATAATAGGAGGAACCAAACACACAGCCAAAGGGAACATCCAACCTTCCCGTGCATCATGTCAAATTAGTCATTTGGGGCCCCCACACCACATAGTGATTATGAGAACTAGGTTTTTGCACGCTTTCTTTCTTTACTGCATTTTTTTTTGCTTTTCCATGATTCAATAATTCATGCCTTGCCCTTCCCCACCACCTACCACCACCACCATTTTTGACATCTTTTTCCTTTCCATGGAGGTTCAATTGGACCAGCAAAAGTGCTCTCTTTCTGTATCTTCTTCTTTTGTGTCGACTCATTCCAGGAAGAAAACAAAATGTTTTAGATCTTTTCTTTATATAAAGCAATTTTGCCCTTTGATTTGATCTAAGGGGTCACAATCGTGTCAATAACAACCCAATTCAAATTGTGCCTGTGGATCACGATGATAGGAGCCCATCACAATATATGTACACTTTGATGGGATCTTATATAAGTTGCATGTTTAGGGTATTTTATGTTTTTATACATCATTAAAAGAAAAAAGAAAAACATCAGACTGACCGTGTTGCCAAAATGAGAGAGAAATCATGAGAATGCTTCTTTTGATGCAAGAGGAATCATTAATTAACTATTATTTTATTTAAAAAATGCCTAAAATAGGTTACTTGAAAGCTACAACTCTCTCAAATTTGCGGTGGTCCCATGACATATCCAAGAGAATCTTGGTTCAATTGTTTTACAATACTTTTTTATATTTTGAGAATTGGAAATTAAAAAATTATAGAAAAATTAACTTAGTTGACAATTTCTGAGAGAACTATTTTATGAATGGTCTTTTTCTTTTCAGGTGATTGTCTTTTTATTATTTTATAAAAATAATTTTTAAGAAATTTTTTTTTGAGTTGCAAACCAAACACATTAATTCATAATAGAAAGATGATTTGTACCACAATTCTTTTATTTCTGTATATATCCTCGTATTAATTCATGATCCTTGCCTAGTGAAAAAGTAATAAAATAATAAAAATAAAAAATAAAAAGGATGGCATTTGCATTCTATATTGTTTGTGTTTAATTTATAATTAGAGGGAATCTAGGCTTTTTAAGGTGCTTATTCCATGAATGATTAGTGGAGGTCTGAATTTATTATTTTAATGCTTCAATTAATTATGAGGAGTGAGGGTTAAATTTCAATGAAAGGGGCACCGCCCCATTACTAATTCCGAGATTAATTTTTGTGAAAGAAATCTGTTAATTACTTTTCTATAAACAAATGCAATAATATAGATTAGGTTCATAATTAAAGTAGTTTGACAATTTAGGTGATCATAATGGGTTGGACACTTTTGACTACTGCCTGAATTTTGATAAAATTATGGATATTAATTTCGTCTGTGGGTTTGACTCTGATGAGACAGAGTACATTGCTGATTTGCTGCTGTAAAAAGTGGTAATAATTTCTCTCACATTTGTGCATATCTGTGGGTAATTAACAATCAATTTATATTTCAAGTCATTTCCTATACCTATTGATGATGTTTAAGTGTGTGTGTGTGTGTGCGTGTATATATATATATATGGATTCAAACTTTTTCAATCCTTTAGAAATATTTTTATCTATTCAATCCTGAAAAAGTTAGGTTCATTGTCGCCACAAGTTATCAATAGCCTATAGAAAAGCTTTTAAAAAATAATAATAATTAAGGCTTTGTTTGTTTAGATATAAAGTATTTTTTGTTTTTATTTTTTAGTGTTATTTTACAAAAAAAAATATATTAAAACATAATAAAATAACTTATTCGCCAATTTTTTACAAGTTATTTTACACTCTCCATTCAATAAAACTTTTCTAAACACTGAAAATAAAAATAAAAATAAAAAAATATTTTACCTAAAAAAAATTAAAAAATATTTTATATCGAAACAAACTAACCTAAATTTAAAATAACATTTTTTGAAAATTTTAGTTGTAATCAAAAGAATTTAGAAGTAATTTTAGGAGTAAGAGAACACATCACTAGACTAAAATCTAAAAAAATCATTTCCTAATCTTTGGACTTTTTTCTGTGTCAAACATCTCAACTTATAGGCCATGTAATATTGGGCCCATCAGAGGTGACCCAATAGAATATAACTTAGCTCACCACTCACCAGGCCTGTGTTATGTTGACGGACCTTCTTCGATTTGTTATCTAAGGCCCGGTTCAAATCAAGTGTCCTTACCCAGGCCCTAAAACGGTCCATAGATCGACAAGCTTATTATCCTTGAACATATTGATTTTTTTTATTTGAACCAATTTCTTCCCAAGTTTTCTTTATTAAAATTCCATAGAAATAACAAAATTTATAATTTTAAATATTAATTTCACGTTGCATTTTCATTTAGAAAGACTCTAAAATGCCATGGACGGCTACATAGCCAACCACAAGCCACAACACGCTTATTCACAACAAATTTATTAATTAATTTTACATAATTAATTGAA